CCAGGGAAGGTTTGGGGGTCCCACCATCCCCGCCGGTTGACGACGCCGCTGCAGCGTTCCCGCCGCCACCATTGGGACCGTTATTGGTGGTGCCGCCGCCACCCTCGCCAGCGCCGTCCCCCGCCTGTGGAGGTAGCAGCGTCGGCGGTCCCTCAGCCTCTAACTTGACCGCCACCTCCGTCTGCTCCTCCGCCAGCGCCGCCATCTTGCGGCTGAGCCACCTTGTGCCGTCAAGTGTGATTGAGTTTTCGCCACATGGAGGGCGGGGAGAAGCATTTTACGACACCTTTGGAGGGCAATTTACGGCAGTGGGCGGGGCGAGAAAGCGGGAGTAATGGAATTCGAGCGAGGGCAACTTTCAAAAAGTGAGTGACAGAGAGGCAGGAAGTTGGAGCTGGCGACCGCCTATTGCATTTGCCTGAAAATAATTACCATTTATTGCAGAACAGCTATATTCAGGCATAGTAGTGGACGGTTTACACTATATGACCTTAAATTGAACAATTTTACAAGGTACTATTATTCTCACTTTACATATGGCTCAACTGAGACCCAAAGAAGTTACATAACTTGCTAAAATCACGCAAGAAGAAAGTGTCAATTTTCGAATCCAGGTCTTTAACGCAAAAGCATATACCATTTGCCAGAAGGAAGCTGCTGAGATACTGGTAAATGTTTTATATTTTTATCTGGGTGGTGGTTACTCCCCCCCCCCCCGTTTTTACTTAAGTAAAAATCAATCTGCACACCTAAGCTTTGTGAACTTTATAGCACATGATATATTTCAATAAAAAGTTTTAAGTACCTAATTTAAAACTGTGATTGTGTATATTCTGTATTCGTGCCATGTTTTTCATTATTACAATTTGTAAAATTTCTATATTTTCCTTGTAAATTTTAAAATAGTATATGCCATTTTGCAGTGTGCTTCTCTAGGTTATAAAACCCTGCTGCATATTTTATCTGACTTGAATCTCACAACTCTGTGGGATAGGTGCAAACAGGATAAGTGAACCAGAGTCCTAGCTGGTTTGGCTCAATGGATAGAGCATCAGCCTGCGGACTGAAGGGTCCCAAGTTCAATTCTGGTCAAGGGCACATGCCTGGGCTATGGCCTCGATACCCAGTAGGGGGCGTGCAGGAGGCAGCTGATCAATGATTCTCTCTCATCATTGATGTTTCTCTCTCCCTTCTTCTCTGAAATCAATAAAAATATATATGAAAAGTGAACCTGAGACATTGGGAAGATCTAGCATAATTATTCAGGTTTTTGGTTTTGAGGTCTTACTAGCTTCCTTTGACCCTGATTACCAGCTGAATCACCTCGCACAAGTTACTTACCTTACCCCAGTTGCCCAATTTCTAAAATAAAGACAACAATAGTACCTCAGAAAATTGTGTGGGGATTAAATAAGATAATGTGTATATGATACCTAACACATAATAAATAGCTAGCTATTGGTTATTTTTACTTAAAAAGTTTTCTGTAAATGTTAAAGTCCAGTCATGATGTTGATGGTGATTTCACGACTGTAATAGAAAACTAATCTAATTGGATATGCAAAGTAAGATTATGAAACATGGGGTGTGGGGAGGGAGGAATTAAGCAAGAATTGATTAGCATTTACTTAGCACTGACCAAGAGAGAAAGAACCTGAATCTGATGGTACATGCTTATGAGATGGAGAGAATTCGTCCTTTCCCTCAGGATCATTCCACTAATTTTTCTGACTCAGTATTCACTAGTTGATAATTGGTAATTAATTAAGTACTTAGATGAGCGGTGCCATGAATAATAAGCCCAGATGTGTTTTCTGTTCCATGGGAAGGTGTTTTCCTCCATTATGACTAGTAAATTAACATTCTGATGCATACATTAGTCTCTCGAATCAGGCCCTGGAAACTGGGTCCACCTGTACAACGGAAGCCCAGACCTTGGACACAGCCACCCACTTCTGCAGGATCCACCTTTTACCTGCTCTGTCATAGAGTCTGAGTTGAGACTTCAGCTGAGGTTACTTACGCCAAGTAGAGTGGTTTTTCTATTACAGTGCAATAGAGGTAAGTGTATTGAATGCCTGCAAGGCCCACTATTAATTTTTTGTTCTCTTTTCCCCATCCTTTCTGACCTCTACTTCCATTCTCCTACATTCTTCTTGGGATGCTTTAAGAGTGTCCATCTGTATTTTGTTCCTTCATAGAAGGGTTACTCTCTCTCTGGATGTTTCTCTTTCTCTGATGCTCTTTCATTTCACTCTAATGCAGCGGTTCTCAACCGGTGGGCTTTGGCGGTTGAACGACCCTTTCACAGGGGTCGCCTAAGACCATCCTGCATATCAGATATTTACATGACGATTCATCACAGTAGCAACATTACAGTTATGAAGTAGCAACGAAAATAATTTTATGGTTGGGTCACAACATGAGGAACTGTATTTAAAGGGCCAGAAGGTTGAGAACCACTGCTCTAACGTATCTAGAATTAGATTTTTTCCCTCTATATCCTGATTTGCCTTTTATATACCCATTCAATTTGAAGTGGGTTTTTTTATGGTTTGGACATTTAGCAAGTATTATATCTATAAATATATCCTCCCCTCTATTTTTCCCTACTCTTGGATTCTTAAGATGTAGGTATTACACTTCTGTCCTCTAGGTCTGTTAAATTTAATATGTTCATGTCTACCTCTCCCCGATACCTCCTAAAAGAGTTCCGTAACCTGATTTTTCAGTGCAGTAAGTCATTCTTGGCCTAGATCCATATTGCTACGTAACCCATTTATTGAGCTATTTAGTTCAACCATTATATTTTTTCATAGCATTTTTGAATTAGTTCTTCAAGATTTATTGTTCCTGCCAGCACCGGTTTGGCTCAGTGGATAGAGCGTCGGCCTGCGGACTGAAGGGTCCCGGGTTCGATTCCGGTCAAGGGCATGTACCTTGGTTGCGGGCACATCCCGGTGGGGGTGTGCAGGCGGCAGCTGTTCAATGTGTCTCTCTCATCGATGTTTCTAACCCTCTATTCCTCTCCCTTCCTCTCTGTAAAAAATCAATAAAATATATTTAAAAAAAAAGATTTATTGTTCCTGGCACTTTCCCCCCAGGGAGCTCGCCTGTGTCATTCCCTTCCCCTCTCTGTCCCCCACAGGCATAAATCCCCTAACCACTAAGAGATTCCATGAGATTTGCAACTAGGGGAGCAATGGGCAGTGGCAGCTCATCCCAGACTAACCCCCTGAACTTGTCTCCAGAGTCCCCTCTGACTTCCCAGCAAGCCAGGGCAGCCCAGCCTAGGCTCTCCTTGTTTCACTGTCCTAAGTACATTTTTGCTGCAGCTGATAAATTCTTGCTTGCTTTTCTATACTTCATCTCTTGATTGAAATCTTTTCCCTCAAGAAGACAAGAACCTAGGTCTCCTCATCTCCCTACTAACACTCTAACCACTTGCCATTTTCCAGGGCGTGGCTTGGCTATTTGTAATTGCACTGAAGACTTTAAAAAAATATTTAGAGCCCAGGTGTGTGGCTCAGGGCTTGAGCATCGACCGATGAACCCAGAGATCATGGTTTGATTTCTGGTCAGGGCACATGTCTGGATTGTGGACTCAATCCCCAGTGTGAAGCATGCAGGAGGCAGCTGATCAATGTGTCTTACCTCTTATAGCCACAGAGCTGATCTTGTGGGTTGCTGAATTATAATATAATTGCAATATAAGTGGTATTCACAGCCTGACCAGGTGCACTGAATGGGAATGAGAGACACTTACGAATCAAAATGGGGGTTTGGGTGGATGCCAATGACTGAGTTCCCTGACTTACCAAACCCAAAACCCAATGAAATTCTTTTGCCATTAAAAACAACAAAAATGCCGGGACCGGTTTGGCTCAGTGGATAGAGCGTCGGCCTGAGGTCTGAAGGGTCCCCGGTTCGATTCCGGTCAAGGGCGTGTACCTTGGTTGCGGGCACATCCCCAGTGGGGGTAGTGCAGGAGGCAGCTGATCGATGTTTCTCTCTCATCGATGTTTCTAACTCTCTATCTCTCTCCTTTCCTCTCTGTAAAAAATCAATAAAATATATTTTAAAAATTAAAAACAAAAAAAAAATGATTTATTGTTCCTGCATCAAGTAATCCAGTTGGGGTAATTTTGTTCCCCAGTACCTCACCCACCCCAGGGGCACATTTAACATATGTCTACAGACACTTTTTATTGCCACAACTTGGGGTGGTGCTGGCATCTAGCAGGTAGAAGCCTGTAGTGCTGCTAAACAGTGCACAGGACAGCCCTAGCCCCACCACAACAAAGTATTACGGCCCCAAAATGTCAGTAGTACCAAGGTTGAGAAATCCTGATATAACCAATATGAACTCTCTCTCTTTTTTTGTTAATCCTCACCCAAGGATATTTTTCTTCTGATTTTTAGAGAGAGTGGGAGGGATAGAGGGAGGTAAGGTGTGAGGGAGAGAGAGAAAGAGAAAGAAACATAAGTGTGAGAGACACAATTGGTTGCCTCCTGCACACACCCTGGCCAGAGCTGGGGATCGAACCTGCAACTCAGGTATGTGCCCTGGACCAGGAATCAAATCCTAGACCAGGGGTGGGCAACCTTTTTGTGAGTGCATGCCAAAACCAGCAAAATCTCTGACTCAAAATTCTTCTACGTGCCAACCCTAATTTTTTGAGAATATGTTACGCCTACTTGATATCTCTTAAGGTGTAGGTATGTGAAGAACTTTGAAGAAATAATAAAATTCATTTGAGCAACAAAAACACAGTATATGATGATGAAAAATACATTTATTTTTTAATGTATC